TTATATAAGAATGAATGAGTCATTGCTTTTTACTAAATGGGAGTGAAAAAAGCAGATTGGCTGGAGTTGCCATGGGTGTTAAGGAGACCAGGACCCAAAAATGCATGTTCTGGAGTAATAATGTAATGAGACTAGAAGTATATGTTCAGCATAATCAAAAAAATTCAGTGGTTTAATTTAGGAGAGAATAGTACATATTAAGAAATGATGTGGTTTAGGGATGCAGGGATCCCAAATTACTGAGGTTCGGGGCAGAGTTGTCTGGAAAGAATTTGCGGACTCAATCCATCTTCCAGTATAGTGGCAAAAAGTTTATTGTAACACTAATATGGCAGGCAGAGCTCCTTTGGGGAAATTGCAACCTAACAGAAGTGATGTTAAAGGTTATATAGAAAAGTTCAGTGAGTGGTATGCCACGTACACTAATTAAGTGGTGAATAGTAAGTTAACTAATCAAGAGTTTTTTCTCCTTGCAGACTCTACTTTATTTCAAGTAACTTTTACTCCCTTTCCCCCTGTTCTGTGTCCTCACCTTTCTACCCAAAAATGCATCAATAAAAAGGTTAGCAAGCAAAATGTGGTTGAGGAAAAGTCCACTAGTATCTCCTGAATTGTAATAGAAATAATTAACTCAAAGGAATGTCACTGAGATGCTTCTAGCAAACTCTCATATAATACATTTACAGCCCTTTTTTTAAAACTTCAGACAACTGTATTTTTTTTAATATTTAACTTGTATTAACAGCACTTTAAAGCACATTTAAAGTCAGGTTTTTCATTGACTAGAGTCATAAAGTAGGGTCACAGTCTCACACGATGTTACTTCCATGCTATCATTTCATTTCTTTCTTTCTTTTTAAATAAGTTTGTATTGATGTTTTCTCTTATAGCATCATAGTTATATCAAGTATCCCTTCCCAGAGAGCCATCCAATATAACATAATATTTTTGTTTTAGAATGGAAAAAAAATCAACACAACTGATCAATTACATTGCAAAAGTATAAAAATATGTGCAATGTGTAACATGTGGGGACCTCCTACCTCCACAAAGGGGTAGGTGAATGTGTCCTCTCATCTCTTCATTGGAGTCTTCCTTGATCTTTAGAATTTTGTTATATTCGCTGTCCACTTTTTGGTATGTTCTTTCCATTTCCATTGCAGTAGTTGACTTATATTGTTTTCTTAGCTCTGCTTATTTCACTCTTCATCAGGTCCGTGCTTCTCTGTATTCATCACACATACCATTTCTTTCAATACAGTAGTATTCCATTACATTTGTGTACCACAGTTTGTTTAGCCATTCTCCAGTTGATGGGCATCTAATTTTTAGTTATCAGAAAAACTGCTGCTGCAACTATTTTGGAGTTATAGGGACTTTCTTCTTATCAAAGGCTTCCTTGGGTGTAAGTTCAGTAATGGAGACTATGATTCCAAAGGTATGAACATATTAGTCACTTCTTTTGTGTAATTCCACATTTCTTTCCAAAATGGTTGTGCCATTTCATAGCCTCACCAACAAGGCATTAGGGTACCTGTCTTCCACTACCCCTCCAACATTGACTACTGCCATTTTTTGTCATTTTTGCCAGGGTGTGAGGTAAATAGTCTTGCTTTATTCAAATTTTCTTTCTTTTATATTTGAAGACCTTTCTCCTCATAACTTGCAGAACTTATTTCTAAATTGAATTGTTAAATTTAACTACTATGTGTCTTGGAGTTTCCAGTCTTGGATTTTTTTCTGGAGATGATCTGTGACTTCTTTCAATTGGCATTTCATTTTCATTTCATAAGTTCTGGACAGTTCTCTTCTATTAATGTCTTCATTATAATGTTAAGGGTTTTTTGCCCTCTTGTTTTCTTCTGGGAGACCTGTGTTCCTTAGGTGGACTCTACACCCCCTGTCCTTGAGATCAGCATGTTTCCCTTGCACAGTGAGGCTTTTTTAGTATCAGTGTTTTTGCTCCTCTCATTCTAGGTTGCTTTGTGTTTGCTCTTCCAAACTGTTTTTTCTTTTGTTTCTTTGATGAGGTTTGTCATCTTGTCCAGTTTTTCTATGCTGACAGTTATTTCCTAAATTCTGCTCTCCTAAAGATCATTTCTCTTTCAAACCACTGAGGAGCAGCGTATTGTGGTTCCATGTTCTCACATTCTACAGGGTTCTCTGTTAAATCAAGAGTTGGATCTTTTCCTTTCATTTTGCAGTATTTATTCATAGATTCCTGATCTCATTTACTAGATCTGGAGGTATGCATTTCCTTCTGTTGTTAATGTTTTCTTTGTTGATTTATCCGCTTATGTTCATGAGTTTTCTTATTTCTGAGATCTTTGGTAATTTTAGGTTTGGTTTTTTTTTTTCCTTTCTGATTTTACCCTGTTCACTTTATGACCCTATCTCCTCTGATCCCACCCTTTGATGCTGGATCTCAGAGCATCTCCCATCTTGGGTAATGCACAGTTCACCAGCCTAGGTTTCTGCCCTGAGTGACTTTTGGGGGGGTCAGAACTGACCCCAGCTGTATACTGTGCTTGCTCCATCCCCCTCTGCCCCCCACCAGCGGACACAAGGTTCTGTGCTTAGTTCTGTGGCCCAGCAGGGGCAGTTTAGAGAGTTGCCATTCAGTGCTATAGGCTTGTCTGCCCCAGCACAGGTGGGATTGCCACTGGTGCTGCATGCCCTTGCATTTAAGCTTCTGAAGGAATGTCCCCTGCTACTCTGTCTCTGGGGGAGAAAATTCTGCAGCACTGGAAGGAGGGAGGGGGGTCTTCAGTGTGGGGTTGAGTTTTGTTGCAAGCCCATGTTCCAGATCCTTGGGTCTGCTAGTGCAAGAGAAGTACTGAGTAAGCTCACAGTCAGTGAGCATCAGTTCATAGGTTTGGTTGTTTTGTTTTGTTTTTTAATCTTTTTGATTCTGAGTATTTTAGACCATGGAGGCAGCTGAAGTTGTATTATTTTGGGTGCATAATTTCTGTTTTAGAGAGGTTTGAGAGGTCATGGGGATCACAGAAAATGTCTTAAGCTTCTATCTTTTTGCTCACGTGACCCAGAAGTTGTCACTTCATTTCTTTGTATAAATCACAGAGCCATAAGTGCTCCCTGAAGAATATCCAGTTGGTTTGTAGTTGGAGTCACAGTGGGTTAAATAAAAAACTTAGAACACTTTCTTTTTGCAGAAAATCAGTTCTCCCTTAGGGAAGACTTTCCACATAAATACTTTTAGGGAATAGGGAGGGCTAAAAAAGAGATAACAAACAGTGGTTAGCTGACTCATTCGACCTTGCCCAGTGACCTTTCCACAAACCACCTTTATTTTTCTTCCTTCTGTTTGCCTTGATTACTGCTCCCAGGGACAAAGGTGATGGGCATTTCTTTTTTTTTTGAAGTTCTAATCTATAGATTTATAGAGATAAACTAGACCAGTGAGTTTTGGTTGTAAACAGCTGCTTGGTCCTTCTGTACCAAAGGGGTTCAAATCCTAAATCTTAAACATAACAAGAAAGAAAACCCAAAATAAAAACAGAAACCAAGTCTTAATCATATTTTATCTCCCCAGTAGAATTTAATCTCCTTTCCTTATTTTGTCTTTGTATTCCAGTGCGCAGCATAGCAACTTTGTTCTTAATATTTTTTTTAAATTGAATCACTTGAGTTTGAACTAGATTGTGTTAGATAAATATAAAACATCTAGAAATTCATTTCTGAAAACATTTATTGCCCTTTAAGAATATAGGTATACCTTCCTCAGAACTTTAGATAGATTTTTGAAAGTGGATATATATTTGGATATATATTTTGAAAGTAGGATTGTAAAATTCACTTGGTTTTTAAATGTAAATAGACATGTAAATGTCTAGAATGTCTTTCATTGACCCAGGTATACCAGTATTAGGATATTAGTCTAGATCTAAATCCTTTTACTGCCAAGCTATATACTGTGTGCTGGCTTCTCAATGGGCTGTGATCTGTTGGTTTGCTCTAGGATTCCCAGATTCAATATGGACCTAGAGCTGTACTAGATAATAACAGAATTTTAATTGGTGATGATATCCCTAAATGATATCCTTGTAGCCTGAAAGTATATTTCCAAAACACTTGGGTTTTCTGCTGAATAATCTTATTTTCCAGGTGTGTCTGTCCAATTTCTCTGTTTTCCCCATCTCTTTGTATTTCCAGTGCCTGGCACATGGTAGACACTCAATAAAAGCTTGTAGAATTGAATTGACGATACTGTTCTCCACTACATTTCCATTCTCTTGATATTACTTAATAACTATCAGGTAAATCAGTCAGTGACTTATTACAAAGCTAGATGGTGTTAATTGCTGTTAATTTCCTTTATATACTTCTATTTTCTAGATTAATTTTCTAGATTTTCTTTTTGTAGAGTAAACCAGAATCTTAGAGGTGGAATTATCTAATAAAGTTAGCTAGATATCCCTTAACGAAGGTCACATAGCTGATTAGTAAAAGAGCTTGGTACTCCTGACTTCCAGTCTGGTATTCTTTGTGCTATAAAATTGGAAGACAAACATTTTTCCCTACTTACTGTCCTTTTCTGCTCTGTGCCCTTATCTTTTTTTCCCCCTTTCATTTCTTGCTTAGTCATTTGTAGAACTATGTACTTTTAATCTCATCACTTCCTAGCTCAAATTTCAGAAGAATGACATGAACTAGTACAGCATTTCTCCCATAGTTGTATGCTCTGTGAAGGTAACTAATACCCCAAGAGCTATAATTTGTGTGAAGACTTTATTTACTGAGGCACTTTTTAAAAACTAAAAATATCCCTTTTAGGGAGAAAGGATGGATGAGTAGGAATTTGCTGCCTAGCCATTGTTGGCTTCAGTCTATTGTTTAATGTGTTTTAACTAGAACCATTTGATATTGACAGAGGTAGTAATTACTGGGCTTTTTACAACTGTGCCAAGATAAATCTTGGTAAATATTTCTAAATCGTTTAACAGAAATACCATTGTTTTTGTTGTTTTTTTTTCTTATAGTGTTTCCTGAGGGTACAGGCGGGTGTTTGAGGAGTACATGCGGGTTATTAGCCAGCGGTACCCAGACATCCGCATAGAAGGAGAGAATTACCTCCCTCAACCAATATATAGGTGAGTACATTATAGTAAAACTGATAAGAAATAAAGAAATTGACTTCTGAGCTTAATGGATTGGTTTAATTAAATTGAAGTCAGTTGATATCCAGTGTTTTGGTCATATTTAAGCCAGTTTGCCTTGTATTTTCTTTACTTTTTTCCTCATCACTGTAACAGTATTTCTTTGCAATTAATTTTAGCATGTTTATATAAGTAGAAGATTTTTAATGTTTAAAATTTTTTAAAGATAAATTATTTTCAAACTGGAATTTTACTTAAATATTTTACTCATACATTTTAAAAAATTATTTTTCACTTAACAAGCTTTTATTTTCTCTCCCACCTACTTCTCCCCTGCTCCAGCAGTTGAAAAAAAAACCAAAAACTCCTCCTAACAAGTATGCATTAGCAAGCGGAACAAATTCCCAGATTGGTCATATCCAGAAAAATATATGTCTAATTTTGCACTCTCTTCTATCTGTCACTTCTGTGAAGCAATTGTTAGCATCTGAAATCATAGTTGGTCATTGTGTTGATCAAACTTTTTAAGTTAGGGGCAGCTGACCTTGGAGTCAGGAGGACCTGAGTTCAAATCCGGTCTCAGACACTTGACGCTTATTAGCTGTGTGACCCTGGGCAAGTCACTTAACCCTGATTGCCTCACCAAAAAAAAACAAAAAAAAAAGTTTTCAGTTTTTCAAAGTTGTTTTTCCTTATAGTGTTGTTGTTATTGTACAAACCAGGTCTGTACAACATATGACCCGTGGCCTGCCAAAGCAGCCCATCAAAGTGGCCCTTGGGTAGTATGTTGTGTAGGCCTGGTATAAACTATTTACTGGTTCTGCTCACTTCCTATATGTCAGTGCATACAGGTCTCCCTAGGCTTCTTCAAAACTGTCTCTTTTATCATTTCTTCTAGAACAGTGGTATTTCATTACATCCACATATCATGATTTGTGCAGCCATTCTCCCAATTATCACTCCCTTAGTTTCTATTTCTTTACCACCACAGAGAGCTGCTGTAAACATTTTTTATTCATATGGATCCTTTTCCTCTTTTTTTGACGTCCTTAGGGTAAAGGCTAAGTAATGGTAGTTCAAAGAGCGTGCACAGTTCAGTAACTCTTCATGCATAGTTCCAAACTGCTTTGCAGAATGGCTAGATCAATTCACAGATGCACCAACATTGCATTAATGACCCTATTTACCTGCACACTTGTCATTTCCCTTTCCTGTCAATTTTGCCAGTCTAATAGATATGAACCTTAGAGTTGTTTTACCAGTGAGGTATTTTACATCTTCTTCTATTTTTTCATTCTTTTGAGTTTGTTTGATTGATTCTTGGTGTCTTAGAGTCATTAGTTTCCACTTGCCCAGTTCTAACTTTTAAAGAGTTGTTTTCCTCTATTAGCTTTTGTACTTCCTTTTCCATTTGGCCAATTCTCCTTTTTAAGGAATTGTTTTTTTTTTTTTCAGTAGATTTTTGTATCTCCTTTTCCATTTGACTGATTCTGCTTTTTAAGGAGTTGTTTTTTTTTCTAAGCCGTTGACTCTTTTTTCGTAATTCTCTTGCATCACTCTCATTTCTTTCCCCAGTTTTTCTTCTTATGATTTCTTTTTTTTGAGCTCTTACATGAGTTCATGCTGGCCTTGAGACCACTTCCCGTTTTCCTTTGGGGCTTTGCCCATAGGTTTTTTGACATTGTTGTCTTCTTCTGAGTTTGCGTGTTGATCTTCCCTTTCACCATAATAATTTTCTATGGTCGGATTATTTTTTGTTGTTGTTGTTGTTGCTTTTCGCTCATCTTTTTTGGCCTTTTTCCTTTCTTTTAAATTTGAACTCTGCTCCTGGGGTATAAGGGTTACTATCTCAGGCTTCTTGTGCCAGGGGCTGCAAGCCCTGGCTGTTTAACTGGTACTATACTGGTGTTGCCCTGAGATCCATGGGGGACCCTTGTGTCTGGTGCTGCACTGAGGGAGTGGGGTGTGGGGTGGTTGGCGCTGCTGGAGGTAATGGGGGGCTGGCAATTTACCCGGTGCTGAGCCAGAATCCTAGTGCTGGTGTCTGGTGTGTGCTGAGACCAGAATGGTGTTTCTTCATTTTCCCGGGCTGCACTGAGGTACCTGGAGGTTCTCATGGCCGAAGCTAGAGTCTGCCTGTTCCCCGGCTATATGCTAAGGCAAGTGGCGGGGTTCTGGTGTTGGCTTCTGCCTGCTGCACTGTACTGGATATGGAAATGGGGCAATTTTGTTACTGTTTTGTTAAAGTTTTTATATACATATTATATATATATTTATGTACACTTAGTATAAACTAGAAATTTTAAAAAATGTGTAGTTTCATGTATAACCTTATTTGTGTATTTGAATGTTTGATGGTTATTACATTATAATAAAAATGAATTTTTCTCTTCTTTTGATAGACACATAGCATCTTTCCTGTCAGTCTTCAAACTAGTATTAATAGGCTTAATAATTGTTGGCAAGGATCCTTTTGCTTTCTTTGGCATGCAGGCTCCAAGCATCTGGCAGTGGGGCCAAGAAAATAAGGTATGTAGCTGGTTCTTTATTTCAAGTTGACAGTGAAAGTGTGGGATTATATTGTTATTGGGAGAGCGTGGGACTTAACTGTGGGCTGCTGGTGGTGGTGGTTTTTGTTTTGTTTTGTTTTTGGGAATCTAATGATTTATTGCATTTGGGATGATAGGTAGCTTTGAGGGTCTTCTTAACTTGGAGTCAGGAGACCTGGGTTTGGATCCTAGACCCAACACTATGTAACAGATCACATAAGATCTCTGAGGCTCAGTTTCCTCATCTGGAAAATGAGGGTAATAATACTTGTACCGCCTACCTCGTGGGGCTGTTGTGAGGAAAGTGCTTTGTGAGTTGTAAAGCACTATAGAAATATTCATTCTCATTTGTTTTTTCTCTTAATCTGTCCCATTGAATGTCTTTTCTTCTGAAAGACTAAGTAGAAACCCATCTTGTGCTTTTTCTTAGTTTCTTACTGGGACAGAATTGTCTAAGCTCCCTTCTGAACAGCAGAGAAGTACCTTCTCTCTTGTAGATCTTCTTGGCCCTGCCCAAATTTTATGTTTGTTTGTTTTTTTTTAATTTTTTTTAAGGCAATTGGGGTTAAGTGACTTGCCCAGGGTCACACAGCTAGTAAGTGTCAAGTGTTCGGTCCGAGTCCGGATTCGAACTCAGGTCCTCCTGACTTCAGGGCTCGTGTTCTATTCACCTACCCAAATTTTAGAACCTGAGAGTTAAAGCTGTTTCAGTAGGAACTGAGGAGGGGCTTTTGCAGAGAAGGGGTCAGTTGGCATTCATGAGGGGGCAGAATGCACTTGTAGTTCTCAGTAACTCTTGTCCTAAGTGATTTTTCTCATAAAAGCTTATGATAATTTTCTAGGAATGTGAACCTGGTTATGTTTAGTCTTATAATAGTTTGAAAACCCTTGAACAGGTGTCTACATGAAGCTGCTGAATATTGCATCATTATTCCTTTGTGAATACTTTTAAAAGGTGTTCAGTGAACTGTATAGTTGTTCTTTTTTAAGAATTACTTGGACTTTTGGGGTGTTTCTTTTAGATCTATTTTCTCTAAATCACAAATATGGCTTCTTAAAATCTTTGAACTGAACTAGTATTAAGCTTTTTTTTAATTTCCTTACTGTAATTGGGTGGTGGCAATAGAAGTGTTAGTTTGTGTCTAAGCTGTAGGAATGTGTGAAGGAAGAACAGAATTTATCAGATGAAAAAATCGTTTTAGAGGGAAAATGTTGAGAGTTGCCACATCATGTGTTAAGTATTTTCCTCTTAAAAATCACATTCTCTGAAATACAATGGCAACTCTGAATTTTTTTTTTTCTTTTAGGTCTATGCGTGTATGATGGTTTTCTTCCTAAGTAATATGATTGAGAACCAGTGTATGTCAACAGGTGCATTTGAAATAACGCTAAATGGTGGGTTCTAAATATTTTTCATATTGTAATAAACTGTGTTATTTTAATCTTTAGTCAACATCAAGCAGCATAAACTTGTTTTTCCTGTCATAAATTATAATGTAAGAAAAATTGTTTACTAACATACCCATGAGAGAATAATGCCTGTTAATACTGTTGAGGGCACCACCATCCTGGTTTAGAGGAGATTGTTGAGTTCTTTGTAGGTGTTATCAGCCTCTTCATCCTCTATATCAGAAGGTGGTGTATAATAATAGATAGCATTTCTATAGTGTTTTAAGGGTTACAAAACACTTTACAATCAATTTCTCATTTTATCCTCACAGCAACCTTGAGAGGAAGGGGCTGTTTTTATTCCTATTTTATAGATGAGGAAATCGAGGCAAATAGAGGTTAAGTGACTTGCCCAGGGTCACATAGCTAGGAAATTTCTGAGGCTGGATTTGAACTTAGGTTCAGTCAGTCTTCCTGATGATAGGTCCAGCTCTCTATCCACTGTGGCACCAAGAGGCCTTGAGAAGTACATTAGGAAGTATTTTGATTATTATTATTTTTTTAATTTTTGATTCTTCCTATTATAGAGTGAAATTTTCTGAATTGTAGTTGACCATAGAATTATCTTTAATTATTTGGATTATGTTCTTTTTGTAGATGTACCGGTATGGTCAAAGCTGGAATCTGGTCACCTTCCATCCATGCAGCAGCTTGTTCAAATTCTTGACAACGAGATGAAACTCAACGTGCACATGGATTCAATCCCACATCATTGATCGTAGCCCCATCTTTCAGCCCTGAAAACTCTTTTGTAAGTACTTAAAATGTACATGCCTCAGCTAATGAGCAACAATAGCAAAGACAGGACACACGTGTATTTCCATGGTCTGTTTCTCTGATGTTTTCATGGGATTATTAACGCATAAAAATGTCATTGGTGGAATCCCCCAACATGGCGAGCTGTGCTTGTATTTGTTCTTTTTCTTCACGGCTCAGATTTCTTACCATTGCCTGGTCCTCTAAAACCAGATTGAGAATGAGCCATCAACACAATTACCAGGTGCTCCCTTGCCCAGTTGATAGATGCAGATGAGGTCTGCCTACTAATTGATAAAAAGTTACTTTGTAATAAGATAGTTAAAGAATGATATAGTCAGATTGTTGTATTGAGCTCCACGTTTAGTAACTGCTTAATAAGGCAGCTTAGTAGGGCAGCTAGGTGGAGCAGTGGATAGAGTGCCAGGCCTGGAGTCAGGGAGACCCAAGTTCAAACTCAGACTCAGACACTTACTAGTTGTGTGACCCTGGGCAAGTCACTTAACTTTGTTTGCCTCAGTTTCCTCATCTAAAAATTGAGCTGAAGAAGGAAATGGCTAACCTCATTTAGCCACTACATTTGCAATTTACTATGGTAGTCCCTCATAGTCTACAGAAAGATATAGAAATGGCAATAAAGGAAGCAAAGATGGCAAACACCAACTGGATGGACTGAATCTACACAGAAGAGGTCTCTGTGGGAGGAGACACAATTTTAAAGATATTAAAGGTTTGAGTCTGAGATACCTGAAAGAGGGTGAGTATACCAAACCATCGGTATTACTGTTACAAAAAAGGTGATCAAGAAAACATCAGTAAGTAACAACCCATATGCCTTCTTATCTCTATAAAAAGTTTCCAGGAAGAATCTATACAGATTACTGAGCATATCCTTGAAGATGGTAGGAGAAACAGAACAAGCAGCTGTAACAACATTCTGCATTTCTCCATCAGACTCCATCCTTGTAGTTGTGTAATTGGAAGGTGTGCAGAGGATATCAGATTTCATTGTTTGTTGACTGTAAAAAATAGATACAGTATAGCCAAATGCAGTCTTAGAGGTTGTCTTCCAATGAGGTGACTCCCGTGTATATAGTAAAATCACAAGATTCCTTGAAAGATGCAACAGCTGAGAAAATTTTGGCTCAAATTATCCATACTAATGGAAGCATCAACCCAAATGTGTGCTTACGAAGAGTGTTTAGCCCTGTTTGGGGACCGTCTCGAGCAGACCCCACGAGGAAGCAGCATTCCCTATAAAGACGCTTTTGTTTGTGGATCACTTTGTGCTGGGTGCATTGAGCCCGGGCATCCTCACAGTTTCCTAAACAGGATCTGCAGTCTCCAAATGAATTCATCCTAGCAGATGATGCAGGAAAGACCACATGTGTGAAGAATGCCTGTTATCAGCAGGAGGATGTACAGTTGGCTGGAGAGCCCGTCAGACTGGCCCATGAGCACGGCTTGGGTAAAGTGCTGTGGACACAGAGCTGGGCCCGGCATTGAATCAAAAGGAAGAGACTGGGATAAGGGTTGCATTTGAGATACTGGACGACGTTGTCAGCGCTTCGAGGCTTTTCCATCTCTTTATTATAACTTTCCTCCTAGCGATGCTTTGTTGCTGTGAATGACGGTTTCCAAAAAATCAAAATTGCCCATGGTCCGAAGAGTGATGGAGAGATGTAGGGTAGGGGAAGATAGGCTGATGGGTTTCACTGATGACGACTTGTGCCAGGGAGCCAAAATATATGATGACGAAAGGAAACGGGCTGATCACGTACCGAGAGTGAGGGTTGTAAGACCCAGCAAGTGCAGCCTGCATTGATGAAGGGTGTCCCAGCCTGACAGGGTGCCTTTGTCTGTGAAGGAGTGACAGGAGGACATGAACAGGAGGGACCCAGATGACGGTAGGCACGAAGGGAAAACCCACCTTGGGGACATCACAGATGTGCCAACGATGCAGACTTGGGGGGACTGAGCAACCTTTCTGTGGATGGATAGGAATTTTAGCATCAGGGTAGCGAGTGCATTCTTACTTTTGAGGAGACGTGTTCCTCTTCTTGCCTTGTGTCTGATTCAGGGGGTGACTTTTCTGAAATCTGTGGTTTGACACAACATCTTCTTTAATATATTTCAGGCATTAATGGATTTTTGCAAGAGCAGCGTGGTTGGCGCCAATGAAGGCCTGTACTGAAGACAGCGTGCTGTTAGTACAGACCAGATACTTATTTGCAGCCTCGTTGAACTTCTTGGAAAACCTCAATGCAAGACAGTCTTTCAGTGTTGGCATGTTTTGGAATACTGCACATTCATGGAGTGCAATAATACTGTATAGTTATATTTTTTTTAAAGGGTTAATTCAGCCAGTTAATTGTTTTAAAATGCAGGCATTACTACTTGTAACTTTATTTCTTAGTCATGTTTGGGGGGGGGGGAGTGGCAAATTGAGTTAATATCTGATTTTTTTTTCCTTGAAAGGTGTCTGTTACATCTGTTGTGATTTTATATGAATTTATGTTCTTTTTGTAGTTTAAAATGGGTATTTGGGAAAATAGCTGATATTCCCAAGTACTTTACAAAGTCTGTCAAACATCTCTAATTTGGTTATGTCCTGTTTGTATGGTTTTCAAAATATTGCAAATTGTGAACAGTGCATTATACTAGATTATGAAAAAAAAAACTATATCCTGAGTACAATACCATTTTGTGATTACAGGAGAACTACTAAAAGACCAACCGCTTTTTAAATCCTGTTGTCTAGCTCAAATGTCTTGCCTTGACCAGTCTAATGAATTGATTAACTGGGCCTTTATACTTATCCTAAATATAAAACTAAGCAAATTTAAGTTAAATAAAAAGTTTTCATTTCCTGTGTAATGTGCCTTTAAGCATTATATTTAATAACTACTTACCTAAATCTTCTTCTTTCTTTGCTTACAGAAAATCAGAGAATGCACACTTCAGTTGTCTGAGAGACTTCCTTTTTCTGTTAGCTGAAGTGCTTATTTTGTTCAGGAAAATACAGTTGGGCCCTAATAGGGTAATAAACATGTTGTCTCAGGCTTTTACCAGATCCCTCAGTTTGCAGGAATAAAATCTGATCCAGGGTCTGTTTGAATACATTGTGAAACCAAACCAGATTATAATGAGATACTACTGTTAGTGTCATCTCAAGAAATTCTAATGTTCCACTTTTACAATAGTTCTATTTTTATACTTATATTGTGATGGCAATTATTTGTTAGATTAATAAAAATTCTGTCCCTTGGTGACAAGTACATCATCGATGTAGTGACCAAATTTAGGTCCTGTAGAAAGCAGCACGAGTGATATTTAAGCACACTTTTGAAATTCAAATTCAGCATATATTGATGGGCATTAATTGATCTGATGAAAACAGTTCTTTTAGCAAATGATTAGCCTTGACAGTAGAAGTGTAAGAAGACTATAATTAATGAATTGGATCATTTTTCTTTTCTGCTTTGACCTTTAGCTGGTTTTGGTCTTTAACTGGTAAAATCTCAGCACTTATGTTAAAAGTAATTCATCAGTTTGCCAAAAAATAAAATTTAACTTGGTGATTTAGATGTTGAATATGACATTAGCAGTAGAGTGGGCTGGTCCAATGGCCTATTCCTGTTTATGAATTGGAAAATTGAGAAAATAATTCAGAGGTTACCATCATTAACAGGTAGTTATTGAGAGCCTACCACGTACAATGTATCGGATAGCTCTCATTCTCATTCTGTTTGTAATCTTGGTGGAGGGAGAAGAGGTGTGTGTCTAGGAAATGCCGTCTATGACTTAATGTTGTGGCTAAGTGACAAATATGGCAGAGATTGTAAAGGAGGCGGGTGTGCTCAGAGGCACTTCTGCAGTGGTCCATGGATGGAAATGCAGGTTCATAGATTTGAGAGTTGCAAGGGACAACAAAGACCCCTTCTCGTTTTACAGTTTGAGAAACTGAGACCCAGAGACACTAAGTGATTTGCTTAAGATCACACAGGTAGTCAGTAGCAGCGCCAGGATTCAAGCTCAGCACACTTTCTACTGCATTCTCTTCCTTGTTGGAGGAGAGGCGGCTTCAGGAGGCAGTGAACGTTACCTAGAATTTTTATAGCGTGGGTAGAGGGCTGCCCTTGGAGTCAGGAAGAACAGTCAAAATCCCACCCCTAATACAAACTGGTTGTGGGACTGAGCAAGTGCACGAACCTCTTTGAGCCTCGGTTTCCTCATCTGCAAAGTGGGGGTAATAGTTATAGTACCTACTCCACAAGGTTGTTGTGAGGCTCAAGTAAGATAAGTTATGCAAAGCGCTGTATAAATGTCGTTTGTCTCTCCAGTGGGTTCCTGATCTCTTTGAGAAATTCCTTCCAGGGACGCAGGTCACAGTCTCTTCTTGCCAGCTTACCTTGGGCAACTCTTGTCCATATCCTCCCATAGGTTCATCACAGGGGATCCACCCAGTGTGCTGGATACCTTTCTCACTTTCCCCTGACATCACGAGGGTGTCCCAGAGCCTTTAGGTCATCTTCCTGTGACTAATCCACGTTGTCCTTTACCACTGTCATTACCTGGTTCTTGGCTTATACCAAGAGAACATTTTCCTAGGCTCCATGCAAGCCCGATTCTTTACTACTGAAAGATTTATTATTAGAAATGCCCTGTGAGTCAGGAGAAAATAGCCTTGTTATGAAAAAGTTTGTAATGTTTTAATGGTATTTTGTGAGGGGCAGTATCTTTTCTTGCATCTTCATACATGTCAATTTTAGTTAACATGTTAGTTTTTCTGAATGTTGCATCCACATTTTTAGGTCTTATTTATTTATTCAGTATGTTTCTATTTTGTCATTCTCCTTGTAAGATTTCTTTGTTATAAAAGTTTATAGCCTATTAAGATATCCTAAGAAAGTTTTGCTTTCTTAACTGCTGGGGGCTTCTCTGCTCCTAGGGAAAATGACTACCCATTGACTTAATAAATATGTTGTTTCAGGCTTTTACGAGATTCCCTCAGTTTGCAGGAATAAAGTTTGATCCATGGTCTGTTTCAATTCATGTTGAAAACAAATCAAATTATAATGGGATCCTGTAGAGTTCTATTTTTATGCTTATAACGTGATTGCAGTTATTTGTTAGGTTAATAAAAACCCTGTCCCTTTTTTAGAAGTACATTGATGTAGTGACCAAATTTAGGTCCTGTAGGGAAAAGTAGGATGGGTGATATTTAAGCCTTTGAAATTCAAATTCAGTATATATTTATGAGCATTAATTGCTGTAATAAAGACAGTTCATTTAGCAAATGGTTAGCCTTGATAATAGAAGTGTAAGAACTTAGACCGTAGTTAGTTAATTGGATCATTTCCCCTTCCTGCTTTGGCCTTTAGCTGGTTTTGGTAAAGTTCAGGTAAAATTTTAACTCTTACATTAAAAGTCTTTCATCACATTGCCAAAAAATAAAAATTGATTTGATTGATTTAAATGTTGAATGTGACATCAGTAATCTAGTGAGGAAGGCCAGTGGCTGCCTCTTCCCGTTTTGTAAATTAGAAAATAATTCAGAAGTTATTAACAGGTAGGTCATTGAGAGCCTACCACATGCTTTACAGATTTTGACAGGAAGGGTCAGGTTCCAGTTTTGACATTGACTAGCTGTTTATGACCCAGGAAAGTTGCTTTCTTAGCCTCTGTTTCCTTATTTATAAACTAGGAAGCAGTGTTTGCTCTAAATAACTCTGAATGAAAGTGCTTTGAAAAGCTATAAAATGTTATACAAAGACCATTATTTCACTCCTTGTTCTTGAAGACAAGTATGTCCAAGATCCCAGCTATTCACCTGGTGGTATCCTTTCTTGAGTACCCCTGTTCCCCAAAGCTCCTGTTTCTGTGCATTTTGCTGTGAGTTGTAATGATTATGACCAATATTCTCTAATGGCAAAGAGTCAAAGGGGAACCCTATGTTTACACAAGCTTCCTTGGTGTTAAATTTATTTTTGTTGGGGACCTGGTTGCTTCTTTCCCTCATTCCAGGCTCTGCCTCATGCTCTTCTTTTTACCTGTCTTTGCACTGCCTCCTACACACACTTAGTCCATATCAATTAAATATTATTGGTATGGTGCCTATTTCAAGAGGGGAATGTGGGCTGAGAATATTATACCAAGCTGACAGTCTACCAGCTCCTTCTATGGAATTTCACAATATTTTATGAAAGTCCCTGGCAATCCTCCTGCAACCTGGAGGGAGTCCCCTTTATGGCATTGAGGGCCACCCTAATATAAATCAATATAAAAACATCATGTAAAGATTATGGATCAGGTTTGTTGCAGTTGGCCCTTAGCCCAAGGATAAAAGGTGAGACCTCAGGACCTGGAGAACCAGGTTCATGTATTGACTTCTTAATTTCCCTTAGGCTTCTACAAAACTCAGTAAAGAACCAAAACTTGAAGAACAGATCCAAAAATCAGCTACATGCATGACTGAATATTAAGGTCAGTTTGCAGAGAAGCCTCAGCAAGTCAAAGTGCAAGGGCTGAAAAGCAGGTCTTGGACCTTGGGCATCTAGAAGAATGAGTTTCTCCCCCTCTAGTGTATGTCCCAGCACCCTGACATCCTCACCTTACCTTCTAGGGGAGAAAGAAACCATATCCCTCTCTCTCCCTATGGTCCAGAGTCCTTTGAATCTTTTCCTGTAGATCCTTTTGTAACTGGTTATGATGACTCCTCCCTTCTTGCATGTTTTAGCTGGTAGTGAGTGATTAAATGAAACAAGGATTGTTGATACTACTTGCCAAGAAAAGGTTGATAGACCTAAAGGACTACATTCTTTTGTCCAAAGCTACCTTAGTCAGTAAGCCGCTGTAAATGACTTTGCTTCTCTTTCTGTGTGGTGACAGAGCAGATTGGGTTAGCTAAAGCCCCTGACATTCTTTTTTCCTTTTGGAATCCTTCACTGGGACTCTTAAATTGCTACCCATGCACATACCCTTAGCCAGGGAAAATCTCTTGGCCTGCTTCATAACCATCTGGTTACTGAGGTGGTCAGTAATCTTTGATATTGATAAAACAACTATATTGATCCACAACTGAACCCTTGGGTATCCAGATTTTTTTGGGGGGGGGGGAGGATGCCAGAGTTTTCTCATGTTCCTTCTCCAGAAGCTCTTCCCCACTTTATGCATGCTGGGTTATTTCTGCCTCCACCCAATCCATGTTTCATGAACAGGGCCCAGTTTCAGTCACGGCCTCCCAGTCCATTTTGACAAACCATCTGGACCATTTTTATCCTGACCTTGTATGGTATGATTCAGGGATCTCAAGGTCCTCCCACAGTAGAATCTGCTGGTGTAAGTTCCATTTGCCATGTACCTTTGACCTTGTCACTCACTGAGTCTTTTTGGCGGTTAATAAACTATGGTGTCCCTAAGGCACAAATTGATGAGAAACCCACACACAGTATCTTGGACATCTACTAGTTTGTGCTGTACAAGAAATTTTCCAGTTTGAAGCACCCTGACCAACCCAGTTCCAAATAATGCTTGTCCCTACAGAACAAGGGGGTGGGTAGATGCCCAATAGTCTCCCCCTAGGTCAGGCTAAGCACTCTACCTAGGAACATGGAGTAGACCTGTTCTTTCATTGATACAGGGAACTCCCAGGTGAGAACACTCCATCTACCAGTCTAGGTTGGCACCATAGTTTCCTGATCTTTCTCTGACTCCTTAAATCAGGGGGTCTTAGGCCATTTCACCAGGGTAGCAAGAAGTACCCTGGGAGAAGCACAATGAGCAGACCTCTGGGCTAAAGGTCTAAAATAAGCTTGATCCTGGGAGATCTTGTTGCATTTAAGAATACCGGGTTCACTTTTAGAGTAGTAAGATGA